TATACATATATACATATATGTCAATATTATTATTTAATTTAGTATTAATATTCATAAGAAATATTTTAAAAATAAAATTATAATTAAATTATCAATTTTTAATAACATGTAAATCTATATATAAATATGTTATATGAAATCATTATATTATATATGTAAGAAAAAATAAGGTATTCTCAACCACATTTTATCCTGTCTGTACACAATTTCTATTATAAATAATGATTCTTGGTTCTTTTTTTTTTATTTATAAAAAAAATATATTATAATCCTCCCTATATATAATTCTCGAATGCGCTGAGCCTACATAGCTGCTTCTGGTGTTTCAGAATCCTATTTGGCGAAGAATCATGATTCGTAATTAGGTTTGGATAAATAATATTGATATATTAATAATTAATAATCTAGGTTCGGGTATTCCATAAATATTATTTAGCTAACTTAGGTATTTTAATATCACTTTTACTAATATAACCTTTTAATTCTTTATAATTTTACATAGTGAGACACTAAGTTCTAATATATCCTTGAATTTTGATTTGTTCCCTTCAATAAGCTATTGAATTATAAATGTATTTTAAAAGCTGATAACTTTTGTATTTCTTATCGGTTTTACATATATAATATATCAAGTTAATCATCTTTTGATGATTTTCGATTTGACATCCATATTGTATACATGAAATAAATAAATTATATTTATTTTTATAATAATAAAAAATAATAATATTTATTAAAATTCATTAGAAAAATAAAATTATTTCTCAATTGATATATTTATATGTAATGTAGTTATATATTGTAAGTTAAAAAAAATAGTATAATATAACACAAGTAAGTTGCACAAATAAAAAGTGTCATAATAAATATATAATAATATATATATATATATTATAAAAGATATTTAAATTTTCAAACTACTTTTTGTCATTAATTTTAGATTTTAATAAAAAAATTAGCAAGCACCCGTGTAATACACGGGTGTTGTACTAGTATATTTTAATTAAAAATAATTACTTGTTTAGCTAAACAGAATCGGAACCAAGTGGCGGGCAGATGGCTGGACTGGGCAAAACGCTGTTGGGCAGAACCAAGACCAGGTGGTTGCTAGCGAGTGAAGGTTGTGTTACAAAGTGATCACTCACAATGAAGCGAGGCAAGCTGCAGGATAGTCAAATGGAAGAGATGATGGAAAGAAAATGAAGAGAATGATTGAAAGAAAAAGAAAAGGAAAAGGCAAATCAAAGAGTTCCAAGAAAACAAGAAGTAAAATCGAAATTATACTATTCTATTTGGTTTGTTTGTAATTTGAAAGACTACTATCTAATTAGTAAACAAGTAAATCCTTCTTACAATATAAATAAAATACATACTTATAAATATCAAATTTTTGTATATATTTATTATTATCAATACAACATTTTAATAAAAGAATATGCACATCTATTGATGCAAAATATGATTATATATATGATGATGATCAACATGATGAAAAATGATTAGATTTACGTAATACAATATTCCCTATATATCTATAACATTGTAGATTTTTTTTTTCTTTACTCGAACAACATTATCTAAATATTTATAACATTGTAGATTTTTTTTTTTTATTTTTTTTTACTTGAATTCTACTGCCATTTCTTAATCCCAACGTCTTAGGTGTAGAAAAATGTCATATTTGGACAAAAAAAATTATAACCGCTGGTTAACAAGATTTTAAATAATAATATTTGTGCACTAATATTTCAATCGGATAGTCAAAACAGCAATTTATGTTTGAATTGGACAAAGTTTTTGATTTATCCGTAGTTTTTGGGTTGCAAAATGCTGTAAAAGTCATAATACACACACAAATCACAATACAATAGCCGCTGTAATAAATTAAGTCCACTATTAAGCTACGGCTCTGCCTTATACTAAGGAGCACTTGGTCATAATTTACCTTTTTTTATGTAATAATCACACACAACAGATAAAACTTTTTTTTTTATTATTATTATTATCAAAGCAAAAATTGAAAATATTGGATAAATTCCTAAGAGATAAAAAATTTTCTTGCCTCTCTCCATTTTTTCTCCCCCCTTTGTGCATGCACGATTAATTATAGCTGCGATCTCACGTTCTTTCTTCTTCTTTTTCGTCTTCTTCTTCTTCGCAAATTATTAAATCATTTTTGTGCTTGGATAAAGGGGTGAAGAAGGTTTGTAACATTTACTCGGTTTGGATTATCTTTCGTTTATGATTCATTATTTTTTTTTTCAATAAATACGGGATTTAAATGTATGATTTGAAAAAATTTCAATCAAAAAAAAAAATATTCGAATTGATTTTATTTTGAAGAGAAATTTGTGTTTTTGTATTTGATTCACGAGCAATAATATTATTATATTACACATTTTGAATTCTTTCAGATTGCATTTGTTTATTGTTTCTATTTGGCATTATTCCTTTTTGTAATACACAGCCCCACAACCCAATCTAAACGGTCTCTTTTCTTTTTAGATTTTTTTTTTTTTTTTTTTTTTTTTTTTTTTGTATTTCTTTTTGTTCAATTTTCAAACTCATTCTCCGAGAAACAGCGCATCTGATTGATATTTATTTATTTATTTATTTTGTATTTAAAAACCATTTTTATATTCAGGTGCTACAATATAAATATAAATGATCACAATTAGGGCAGCAGGGGGAAAAGAATTTGTTTAATAAAGGTTTTGTAGGGGAGAGGTAATGGTGATTTTCTCAATTTTAGGAGATTCTACCATCCCGTTACGAAATGAAAACATTCCGTCGAAGTTTATAACTGTTAGATCAACTATCTACGACGGTTACATGATGATCTACTAGTTACAAATCTCGACAAAATGATTCTGTAACGAAACTGTAGCATTTCCTTTTAATTTTATGTTTTATTTTCCGAAAATGGTATTTATTCATTATTTTGAGCTGTGATTTATTTTCAATTTCTTATTATTATTTTTTATGTTTTTTTTTTTTT